TCATGTTAAAGTATTCAGTCAGTGTCTTGATTAGGGCTGCGCAATATAACCGGTTTACCGGTATTAACCGGTTCAGACATGAAAACGATACGTATTGCGATACGCTGATGGAAAACCGGTATTTTGACAAGCATTCGGAAAGCTTCGTAACACTCGGAAACCTTGATGGTTGGTTCAATTGTGGTAATGGTGGTGGGAATGATCGTGGTGAAAATTACATTGAACTGAGAAAAGCAAAGATTTATGGATGTCAACTTCTATATTGCGAATGAAGTTGACATCCATAAATCTTGCTTTTCTTATGCATTTCACTTCTACATGCCCTTCAAAGATTTTACATTTAACTGGATTGTTAAGTTCGGTTTGAAGTTGTGTTCTTAAATTTTGTTCAAATGTTTCGCAATGTTTTGGATCTGAATGTTTTAAATATTTACTCATTAATGGCCAGTGATCTCTGACATGTCCTGACCAGGTCAAGTTGCTGCCTAAAATCTCAGGTTTTTTTTTGAGAGTGGAGAAAGTAGATCGGGGATCGTCAGAGCGTCAAGTGCCGGCGTAATCTAGATGTCTGCGCTACTGACAGAGCTACTTCATCTGTTCAATCAGCAGAAAGTGGGTACCAAGTGGGATAAATCATGTGACTAAAATCTTCTAGCGCCTCACATGCCGTAGGGTAATCCGGAGAGCCAAGTCGAATGGTCATGCTAAGAGCATGCCACTCCGTGGTGAGGAATACAGTGTATCACAAATGCCCTGAATATTAACATCGTGTTGAAAGCAGGTAGAGTTTAATTAACAGCTGGTATAATTGACCGTATGTAGATGAGCATGTAAAAACACAGTGTTGACAAGTTCTAATCCGTCAAGCTGAATGTAGTAAGTAGAGCATCTGGTATCTTGCTCAAGATAGTTGTAGATGAGTGAGTGAGTATGATCTTACGCCTGATAGCTGTAGCTGTAACCAAGTGACCATGTGTGTCGACTGAACCAACATTATTGCTGTACCTTAAAGGCGGCATGGTTCGGCAATGCTGGCAGTTCGGTGAATACTGATGGTTCGGCGAACGATGTTGGATCTGCGATCTGGCACGGTTCGATGACCAGGATCGGTTAAGTGATCTAGCTCGGCGAGGTAAGATCTGAAACGGTACTATGATCCGGTTCTGGTGCGGCGACTCAGTTTGGCCCGACGAACTAGTTCGTTGATGAGCATATCGATCTGGTTAACTAGTAGGGGGATGTTGTAGTGAATCAGTTAGGGGATGTGGTTCTTCGGAGATGAGCCATTCTGTGCAGAAGAATTAGTTCGACGATGTCACGGCGAACCGCCCTGCCAAATCGGTTCGACGATGATACTTGGATGAGTTCGATGAACCATGGGACGGTTAGTTAAGTCGAAAAACGTCGATTCAGTGACTGCTGATTCGATAAATGCTGGTTCAACGATCTCCGGTTCGAGGACAGCCGGTCTGGCGAATTTCGGTTCTGTGAATGCCAATTAATTAGATGCAGCCATGGTTCGTTGACGAATGCTAGTTCGTTGAATGCGCATTCGGTCCCTATCGACGGAGCAGACTGTTGCTGTTTCCAAACAGTAGTAAATAGCACTCAACATCGCAGCCAGATCTGGGGGAGGAGTAGTTTCCTGCGCAGGAGTCCAGGAATCAGGTACAATCTGAGTAGACTAGAGACACGCGAGGAGGCAGGAGCCCCGTCAGAAGTCGTAGCACGCTGAGGTCTATAATCGGAGCCCCGTTGTGTAGCTCTCCTATCTGTAGAACCATATTGATGTCTGGACGGGGACGAACCGGAAGTAGACGCACATATGGAGACCCGATGACGAGATCAGGAACAAGGAGGGGAAGTATCATAACAAGAATGATGATCCCTGGATCTTGAACGATATGCAGCAGTCGATCGTGTAGGAGATCTAGGTTGACGGTTCGAGTGCATAGAAGAGGAAGTCCCATGCTGACGAGAAGACGAAGTCCGAGGTGGTGACTTCGATAGAAGAACCGATCTCAACGAAGTAGATGGAGGCGTTGCTTAGTTGAATCAGGGATACTCTACAACATATAGAGTCTCCCTGGTTGAATGCAAACAAGTCGAATAGTGGCGTCTCGGCGGTGAAGTAGACCTACCTTAGTTGTAGACTAAGTTGAAAACGTTGAGCAAAGCAAAATACGTCCACACTCGTGTGCGACAAGAAAGAGAATGATTTGGAGATAGTAATGTGGGCAGCTAGTGGTGCATGCTGCATGCTTTGCATGAGAGCTATGAAGCTGTCTTATAATGAGGGTAGCATGGAGTGCTTGGGCGGATGGACAAGAGAGGTCCAGGGAAAAATGTTTACATCTTTCCACTCAGTGTCGAATCAAGAGAGAGAAGTGCATGCCGTGAGATAGTATAAGTTTAAAATTTTACTGTTTGCATGTTAGGTGTAAGGTTTATCAGTTCGTCTTCTCATCAGCGGATAGTATTCTCCCTGGTTTGAAGTACCAGCCATCGAACTGGGTAAGACTTCCGCCTGTATCCCCCTTAATTTTAACGATGAGGAAAAAATTCTTTGAGTGGCATTTTTAGAAGTTGGATATGTCTTTCAATATGTTCAGATACAAAGAAACATGTTAAAACCCATCCTTATCAGATGATTAATATATATTCAGGTGATAGGATTTAATTTGACTAGAATGAAATTTAAGGGGGTAGACGGGCGGAAGTCTCAAACTGACCTCCAGGGAGACTAGCTTTCTAATTTGGCATCAATAGCGATTCGATTTCCTACGCTATAACCAGTTGACGATATTGTGACGCTATCGTCTTACTGACTGAGTGAGTTTGGTTTTATGCCGCTTTTAGCAATATTCCAGCAACATCACGGCACGGGGACACCAGAAATGGGCTTCACACATTGTAGCCATGTGGGGATTCGAACCCGGGTCTTCGGCGTGATGAGCCAACACTTTAACTATTAGGCTACCCCACCGCCCCGCTATCGTCTTGACAGATTTTACTTCCTCTGTTTGGTTGTGTTCATCTCAATGGCTGTCAACAATTCTCACAGCTTGTGCACCATGAATACGGTCATGGTATATTCTGTTTCAGAGTTACTGAATCTCTCAAATCCAGGCTAATTTCACTCAGTTCTGAATTTATTTTGAAGACCTGCATAAAATATAAGCAGTTCAGACACCACTGAATTCGTCTTTTGCAGATATGCATTGCATTTCGATTCAACATATTTCAAATTAAGACAACACAAAAGTGCGCCTTAAATTACAGTCTCTTAATTTTGTCTCGTTGTTTTTAGTAATGTCTGCAAGTATAGGTGTAGCTTTCCTTCAGCAATTTGCCCAAATTGTGATATCCAACCATGAACCATTGCAGACATTCTGTGTATCCCTGTACATTATCTGGACAGTCACATTCCTTTGGGTTTTTCAGCATAGGCCACTTTCCGATACATATACATCTCTGAAGCCTTTTAGCCTTTTTCAGTAGTGTTGATCAAATAAACAAATATATTTTCAGTAGGATTTTACTTATACTTAGACTTTTTTAGATTGGATAACTATTGATACGTAACTGTCAGACATTTTCTGATTGGACCTCTGAAACTATTTTAATTATAATACATATCATGTTTGTTTCATTTTCTTTTGTTCAACTGGATTGTTTTTTCTTTTTTCAAATTGATATTTTATTGCTGAAACCAAGTTACAAAGAAGGTACAAGGTTTAGTGCTGAAATGACCATGATTAAATACTTGTCAAATCTGATTCCACGATCAGCAGATCCTTGTATGCTTGGGATGTAACACCCACTGTTCACCATTTATTAGGATGTGAATGTTGTATAGCAGCACAGTCAGCAATGTTTCAGCTATATCAGGGCAGCCTGTTATTGAATCTTGACAAGCCAAATCAGTGACAGCAACAATAAGTAGCCAGTAGCCCATCGCACATGTTCACTTTCTGTCATCTGTTCTCCCACGGCCTGTTCTATCAGCTTACCATTAAAATGAGAACAATATGATGTGTTCAGTTTCATCTTTTTAATTGACATTTCACCTGCAATTCACATTTCTGCACTGTTTCATGTTACAGATGTATGAAGGTTACATTGCACAAACCAGCATGGTCAATGTAGTTACAGTGAGAGTTATTCATCGTGACAACATAATCAGTTACAACTACTTGTCAGTTCACTAATTTAAACTCTTTTACCATTTTAGTAGATTTCAGCACACACTGCTAGTGAAATATTTCTCAACTCAGGCTTAGATTCAAAGTGTTTGAGCATACTCTGCCTTATGATCTGCAACATACCCAAGTATGTTCAACATGTCCACCAGTGTAAGAACGCAACTTAAAAAAGAAATGAATTAAATATGCAATATTTGAAACTCATAAAAGGTTTTGATGTGTAGGAACAAAACAACCTTTAACCGTGTCATAAAACATTGATTTCTAATGTAGGAGTCTTGATAAAAAACATTGATTTCTAATGTAAATTTCAAATATGCAATATCATGATCGATACTTTCTCCAAAAGTAAACAACTCACACTTTTCTATACAAATTGTAGAATAGATTGTCTCTAGAAATTTAGCCATTCATGTACATTTTGAGGGAAAAGACCATGTAAGTTTCTTAACTAGTGCCTGATACATTGGTATTTCTACATAAATGTATTAAAAAATGTTACTCATTCTCAGTACTAAAGGATATCATTTGTGAAAAGTAAAATAAAATAAAATAAAAGACAAGCTTCATAGAATGACATCTTCCAAGGTTTAAAGACCTGTAGAGATTCAGATTCTAAAGGCTTCAATGATGAGAAAGCACTAAACAAAATAACACTAATAATTGTTCATTATGTTCACTTTAGGGATGAAAACATGTCAGCACTTGGTGTGAAATAAATAAATTGCAGTAAACAGCCTGCACATTTGTGTAAAGGTCCCATTGTCTTGAGCATGTGTCATGCTTATCACGAGTCTATTTCTTGATGTCCATATTTTGTACACCTTCCTCTAAATTCTTCTTCTTGTCTTTGCTTTTTTTCTGTTTCTTATTCTCTTGTTCATCAATTGGGGCAGGTTTAACAAATGGTATTTTCTCTGCATATACTGAAATACAAAGCAGTACAATAAGAAACAAGAATTACAAAGTCTACATATACTGATTGTTTCATAACATGAGAAGAGAATTCTGAATTCTGATTATTAGTGATAATAATAAATGTTGAAAATGTAATATCTGTGACAATGTCACTTATACAGGTAAACAAGGGGAATTATTTACTTACTATGTAACTTTTGAATGATTCACTTATATAAGTGCAGGGCGTAGATTTTTTATGCTCTCTTAGCGCTAAGATAGTTGTAAGTGCCATACATTAACATTAACTTACGACTATCTTAACGCTAAGAGAGCATCGAAAATCTAGGCCCAGCCTTTCAACTGCCAACATACACAAACTGATGCTAATACATGAATTGTTTCCATTAAGTAATACAACAATTACAGTTAGTAACCATAACAACTTATGACAGGTCATTTCTAAAACCTACATAGCAGTTACTTAAACACAATGACACTACAGTTTCCAATCAGTTTGGGCAGTTGTCAAAAATTTACCTGCCATGGAATGTAACATAAAAAAATAGAAAAAAGACTAATGCAATCATTTCATGAAATCTGTTTCTCCATGTAACCTTACCCTCTGGCATAAATCGAGCCAGGACTTTGGGGACAAGAATTCCGTCTTCTGTCTGAAAGTTTTCTAGGATGGCACAAATGACTCTAGTTGTGGCACACATGGTAGCATTCAACATGTGTACATACTCCACCTGGAAAACCCAGCAAATACTCCTTAATATTACTCACATTAGTGTAGAAAGAATGTGCATAATAACATTTTGATAATTGGACATGTTCATTTTTAGAGATTCCCAAAGGATAACTGCAAGTTAAGGCAATTTGATGTAACACTGCTTCGTTTCTGACATGTCTGAGAACAATATTACGTCACACATTATTGTTTCTGGTAGGGTTGACTTATCATGCATGTTTCTTCAAGTTTCTTTCTTAAAATAATGAGCAGGTTCAGGGGTGGAAATACCCCATTGCCGACGTCCCAGCCCAGTGTTTTTTTATGCTGGGCAAACAAATTTTTATATCATGCTGTACCGGTATCCACTTGACTTTCCAATGTTAATTATGTTGCTTATTTACAAAATCAACAAGAAAATCGGCCAGTATAGTGGAAAAATTATCAGGGCAAGTGATTTTACATGTGCCACTGTACCGGAGTACACTAGCAATTTTAAAATTATTTCCACCCCTGAGGTTTAACAAAGCATTTATCAGTTTCCTGTTACATCACAGCAAGTCAGTCCATTGTGGGAGGAAAGGTTCCCGGCATATGAAGGGACACAACTCTGTATAGCAAATTGTGGTACTCTTGACAACAGGGCCAACCATGCCCCTCAAAATAATGAGTAATATCTGGAATAACCCACTTCAGACTCGATATTACAGATTATCTGCTACACATCCCCTCTTCTCCATGGGAATATACATTGTTTATTGTTTATCACCAAGCAACATCCAGCTACATGACATAAGTCAGTAAAAACATCACCTCTGACCCAGACAATCCAGTGATAAATCTTATATCCTAACAGCAGCATTCCATGCTTTTATCAGAGTCAGTTCACCAAACCTGGCTATTTGATGCATTAAGTCACCAATTCTAACAAGGAATCCATACAGGGATGTAAATGATGTCAGTCACTTGCCCTGGTTCATGGCCTATACCATTCCTTTGTGCAGGACAGATAATTCCTCAGGGTCTCATTAAACCTTCCCATGGTCCATGAGGAAAACAACCCCACATATGGAACATAAATTCTGCACAATTTGCTGCTGTGTTGTGTTACTGAGCTGGACAGCTTCCATTGTCGGAAAACAAAAGCCAGAGTAAACATTATTTTACATTTGTACAAGGACTGGCCAGCATCTGTTACTGACTGACTGACTGAGTTTGGTTTTACATTTTAGCAATATTCCAGCAAACATCCCGGGCGGGAACACCAGAAATGGGCTTCACTTGTGCCCATGTGGGGATTCAACCCGGTCTGTTACTACACCAATCTGTTACTTGCAGTAATGACCTTCGTTCCTTACCTCCTGATTCATCTTCTTGGTCTGGCCAAATCTGATCTTGAGTCTCCTTGACTGGTAGTCTGTACAATTTGAACACGACACCAACTCTCTAAAGGCACCAGATCCTGGAAACCATGCCTCCAGATCCAGCTTTTTGGAGGCAGCATTGTTCAGTTCACCTAAGAATAAGAAATATATTCTCTTCATAAAAAATGTCTTTAGGAATTTCAGCTTGAGAAAAAATGGCTAATTTCAGCAATGCACAAAATACTGCATGAAATTGTATGTTCTGATGTACATCCTACCTGAGACAATGTTCACCACTCGATAGGGAATGCCAAGCGATTGTGTGAAATTTTCAGCATTCTTAATCATTTCATCAAACATCTCCCAAGAATAGTTCTCTTTTGGTGAAGTCACAACAAACTGCTCTACCTGCAATGAAAAGATGTCAGAAAATATGAGAAAAACCTTTTAAGACTTACTGTTACGTAATTGTTTTAAAACAAGACAAGTCCATTTGTCTGACTGTTATGTTAGGAGTGCTACAAATTGCTCTTATCACATCATTAAGAACACAATACATGGATCAAGAATTCCCCTAAGACTTTAACAAAAAACAGATGACAATGTGTAGTTTTAATTTGGCAACTAAATGCAGCATGTTAATCCCACCTTTTCAAACTGATGCACCCTGAAGATTCCTCTTGAATCTCGGCCATGTGACCCGACCTCTTGGCGGAAGCATGTGGAGTACCCACAGTACTTCAGGGGCAGATTCTCAGTTGGGATCCACTCATCACGATGGAACGCGGCAATAGGTTGCTCCGAGGTTGCAATTAGATATTTCTCATCAATATCACTGTCATCTTGTTTCTCGCTGCTCTTGCCAATAACCTACATCAAGAAAATGTCTAGGTTTTACTGGCACAATCCAATGATGTAATTTAAATTCAAGCAAAAGAGAATTTCATATTTCAAACTGTTGTTAAATATTGACATATATTTATGTTATATTTTAACCGCAAGAGTGTCACAGGCATCTGTATGAGGAACTCAAGAAACAGTAACCATGATTGTACTGGCTACATCTGGTCATGTGACTACAGCCATGCCTGTCCGGGGGACACTTGAAATGGACTTCACACATTGAACCCAAGCGGGGAATCGAATCCGGGACTTCGGCGTGACGAGCGGACGCTTTAACCACTAGGTTACCCTACCACCCCAGTTACGTCAATGACCAGGTGGATGAGTCAGACAAATATCAGACTGACTTAGCCAGGAGATATAAGTACTGCCACAGCATTGCACAACTTCTCCCACAGTCTGTTTATTTGTACTTGCGTTACCTCCTACTATCCCACCAGCTTGAGTGTTCCTACCTACATGTACCAGGTAGACACTGACCTTGTAGAGCTCCTCATCGAACTGGGAGAGCTGAGCCACCTCCTGCATCACCTCCTTCCTCATGAAGAAGGGTGTGTACAGTGGAGTGTAGCCCTGAAGTTGCAACATCTGCATGGCATGGTTGATCAGGGCCTGCTCAAGAAAGACTAGGGGGCCCTGGAACAAGGACAATTCATCACTACAACTACTTGTACACATTGCATGTATATGTAATATGTAATACATAGTTCATAATAGTAAAATATTGTGTAATATAATCTCTAATCTGTTACATATTATCTAATTTGACTCATGACGGAACAGAAAAGCTGTATTGTTATTTGATGCCAGGATGTCATGAAGTGATATGGTTTCATATTTCTTGATTCCTCCTTTGTCATTCTCTTCCCACAGAGGTTACTCCTGTCATATCTTCCTACGTAACCTCTGTTCTAATACGGCCCTTTCATGCTGTGAGCGTTCAAGACTCGTGATTGGAGGCAATCAGATTTAGTTGTGCAATCAGTGACGTTGTTTCAAAAGTGATCATTCGCAAGGCTTCGGTAATTTCCGTATGCTTCGAGAAAACTAAACTTCTTCCCCTTCGCGATGCGCAAACGTTTCTTCTAGACAGAACTCAGTCATGTTATGGCGGATCAGTGGCGTCTCCATTGCCCTCGTTGACAACGGACAAGCTAGCCATTAAACGTCTTGTGTGTAACATCAACACAAGTCCCCGGCAGATGGGGGATATTTGTGGCCCCACATTTGCTTGTGTTAGTCAAGTTGAATCTAAGTCGATGTAACACGTGTTCTGATTGGATAGAAAGAAGGGAGATAATTCGCGTTACGATCTTTTGCCGCTAGGGGATTTTACGAGAACCGGGAAGTATGGCCATATTGGAACAGAGGTTCGTAGGAAGATATGACAATAACCTCTGTGGGAAGAGAATGCCTTTATGTTTACAGGGCTGGTTTCATTGTAAAGGGTTAGAACTAAACTCAAAAGTTTACTAACTAAGGTAAAAGTAAAATTCTCTCGTAATGCTAAAACAATGGTGACACTGGGAAATTTCACCAAGTCCACAGGAATTTGTATTTTCCCCAAGCTAGTGTTACGATGATCGTGGTGATGTTTATACAAAATCTTTATTAGAAATGATTCCTTCACCTTGAGGTAGTATCCTCGCCCACCAGCTGTGACAGTCCCTCTCTCAGTATCGACACCGTCCACCATCACCACCAGATCAATGTGGGAATACTTCTTCGTCACTTCTGTTTCACCAAATGTACGCTCAATTCCGTTCTCAGCCTGTGCACATAATTAAGGTAATATTTTGTAAAAGAACTGAAAGAACAGTTGTAACGTTGGCCGTTTGTGTAACTCAGTCAAGGAAAACAGATCTTGCACAATTGTACCCACTTAATGTGTATATATTCTTCCGATACTCAAATCAAGTAATCTCGTTCTGTCATTGCAAACTTTCCCTCCAATCCATGAAGCATTTTTGTAGAAGTGTCAAACACAATGTATATCGTTCTAAAAATTTAACCAAACCTGAAGAGGTTTTCAATTCTTTGAAGAGAGTCGTCCTTGGGGTACATATTATGCATTTTCCGGGCTGAAAATGTCCTGTGACAGTTGTATCAATGTCTTTTAAAAAAAATATTGTACAAAAAATATAAATCTTTTTATTTATTATACGGCCCCCACCTCGTGGAGTTACCTCCCGTTGCGCATGCGCACCAACCTAGGCCCGTATCATCATTCCTTCTGCTGAATAAATCAGTGAACAGAATTGCGGGGAGGCGGGAGGCCCTACCCCAAGGACGATTCTCTTCAAAGAATTGAAAACCTCTTCAGGTTTGGTTAATTCTTTTTTTTATAGAGATCGTCCTTGGGTTACATATTATGCATAAACACAGACTCCCAAAGACCGGAGGCCAGGGAGGAGGGAATTCTGTCAAAGCACACACAAATAGCGATCGTTAAGATTAATGTAACTGACGCCATAATCACTCACCTGTCACATGTCCCGGTTTGCGCTTCCGCGAGAGGCATTATGGGAGGGTAACCGACAGGGAGGAAATGTACTCATAGACAACCTCGCAGGTTAGCATAAGAATTCGCACATGGTGCGAATGTAAACAAACCCCACCCACCTTGTGTCGATTAGAGAGCACCGTAGGGGGGAAAAAACGCTCACGACCGACCATAGTCTCCGTAGAGGATCGAAAGGATGTTATACACCCAACAGCGGACATGTCAATAAAACACAATATTGAACAGCAGCGTCAACAAAACCAATGAACCAAGACTCACACGGTCAGGGTGGCAGGACACTGTCCACTGGAGAGAACAGAACGGCCAAAGCTCGCATGATTACGTGAATGTGTATCGAGCTGATAGTGCCGGATAAAAGTGCTAGGCCGGCTCCAAATAGCGGCAGAGCATATCTCTTCAATGGGCAGTGCCGATGCAAAAGCTTTTGACGTGGCTACTGCCCTGACCGAGTGAGCCTTCAACCCCTCAGGGGGAGGCTTGCCCTTAGCCTCAAAAGCAGCACAAATCACCGAGACAAGCCAGCGAGACAGGGTCTGTTTGCTCGCCGGCACCCCAGCCTTCCCGCCACCGTAACAGCAGAACAGATGGGTACCCGTACGGATCCCTCGTGTTCGTTTGATATAGACCTTGAGAGTCTTACGGACATCCAATGGGTGAGTGCTCGTAGGAGAGGTCCCCGATGTGGAAGGCTGGGTAAGAGTAGGAAGTTCGATAGGAGGTGTCACATGGAAAGCGTGATCGACCTTCGGGAGGTAAGTATCCGGGAGGCCAATACTGACACGATCAGTGTGGAACACAGTCAGCCCCGGGTCGGACGACATAGCATGTAAGTCGCCAACCCTACGCCCAGATGTTACCGCCACCAGAAAAACAGCCTTCCAGGTTAACAACTGAATGGAAATAGCCGATAGACATGAGAACGTAGGACCGGACAGCCAATCGAGCACAACTGACAAATCCCAAGGTTAAAAAGCGCTGTACGAGAGGGTGCTGCCCCAGAAGAGCACCATCGACAGGGGTGTGAAAAGTGGAAATAGCGGTGGAGTAGCCACGAATGGTCGAAGCCGCCAGGCCTTCTTCCAAACGAGCTTGCAAAAACTCCAATAATCGGACTAAATCCGCAGAAAAGGGATCTGCAAACCCCCTATCTGAACACCAGCGCGCATAGCGGGACCACCTATCCTCGTACTGAACGTTTGTCAAAACCCGCCTCAAAGCCAGAATTGTGTCTGCAACTGCTGCAGGAATTACGCGTGCTTCGAGGCTAGACCTGACAGAGGCCAAGCCACCCACTGAATCCTTGGATTGGGGTGTGGCGCGCCGTTCTGAGTGAGAATGTCTGGTCGCAAAGGTAATAGAACAGGAGGCTGAGCCAGAACCCTGAGAATTACCAGAAACCAGCTCTGTGACGGCCAAAGCGGTGCCAGTAGCACAAGCAGCTGAGCTGGCTGGGTGGACAGCTGGGAGAGGACACGGGGAACGCCCAGAGCACTTTGCCCGTCCAATCCAGCAGGAAGGCCGGGTCCGGTATTCGAGACCAGAACACGGGTGTCTGATTCGTCCCACTGGATGCAAACAGATCCACCTGGAACGACCCGTACAACTGGGAGATAACTCCGAATATCTGCCGGTCGAGCATCCACTCGTGCGGGGCCAGGATCCGGCGAGTAAGAGCGTCTGCTCGCACGTTCTCCAGCCCCGGGAGATAAACAGGGAGTACCTGACAATCGCACTGGTCGCACCAGAGGAGAAAGTCCCATGTCTCCCGGAGGAGCGCTCGGGACACCGTGCCGCCTTGCTTCAGGATGTACGACATGGCCGTCTGGTTGTCCAACTGAAGGCGAACCACCTGGCCCTGGACATGCTCTCGGGAAGCGCTCGAAAACCAACCGCACAGCCCTCAGTTCCAACACGTTGATGTGAAGGCGGGCTTCGGCTTCGGACCAGAGTCCGGACACCGACAGACTGCCCAGAACACCCCCCAGCCCGTGAGGGACGCATTGGTCTGAACTGTAAGAGCTGGCGTCGGGATTTCCAAGGGGACCCCCTTGGAGAGATTCCCGACATTGGTCCACCACTGAAGGTGAGGAGACAACCACCCGGGGACTGCGAGACTCCGCTCCAGGTCCTCCGAGTGAGCCCACAGACTCGCCAAAGTTTGCTGTATAGGGAGCATCCTCAACCGCGCCTGCCACACTACAGAGATAGTCGCCGCCATATGGCCCAGTAGATGGAGCCAAGTCCATGCTGGTGCCTGGGGCTGGGAGAGGAACGAAGACACCATCTCCCGTACTCTTGTGACCCGGTCGGGCGACAAGGAAACAAGATCCTTGTGAGTTTGGAACCACGCCCCGAGAAAAACCAAGTCCTGGGTGGGTACCAGGTCAGATTTCTTGAGGTTGATGATCCACCCCAGTCGAACTAGAATGTCTATCACCTTGTGAGTAGAATCTAGGCTCGCTGGCTGTGTTAGTGCACCGAGCAACCAGCCGTCGAGGTAAGGGTAAAAACGCCTTCCTTGCGAACGAGCGAGGGTAGCCGGCACTAACATGAGCTTCGTGAACACCCGGGGGGCAGTGGATATGCCGAAGGGGAGCACCCTGAATTGGTAATGCATCCCGTCGTAAGAGAACCGAAGGTACTGCTTGAACGATGGATGTATGGGCACATGCAGATACGCATCCTTGAGGTCGATTGACGTGAGCCAATCGCCGGGCTGAACAGAGGAGATCACCGAGCGCAGTGTCTCCATCTTGAAGGATGGAACTTCTAGCATGCGATTCAACCCCTTGAGGTTGAGAATGGGACGGAACCCGCCGTCTTTCTTCGGAATGAGGAAGTACGTGGAGTAAAATCCCGCCTGTTCCTCGCCCGGTGGTATGCGCTCTATAGCGGACTTGTCCAGCAAAGCCTGGACTTCGTCGCGCAGTATGTCCGCCCGTACCTGACATGACGGCACCGGAGTGCGGCGTATGCCGATGAAGTCTGGCGGACCCGCTTCCACAGTGGTAGATGGCCGACACTGACGGTGAAAAGCACCCAAGTGTTGCTTGTAGCCTTCTCCCACTCCGGCAGGAATAGAGAGAGGCGGCCTCCCACTGGGATGTTGGGAAAGAGTGCGTGAGTGGTCCCGAGTAGCGGAGCTGACTGGGATTGACACACGTCTACAGCCTGATGGGTTAACGGGAGGTCGGGGCAGACCTCCCGCGCCCGCGAAAAGGCTGGGAGCCAGTCGAAGAGGACTGCTCCTTGCCCTTACCCTTGGCGTGATGGCTCCTCCGCCTACCCCTGCCGAGCGGCCGAAGCCAGCCAGCAGACTCGGGTGTAGGCTGCACCCCAGAGGAGGAAGCCGGAACGGGAGCGCGGGGGTGAGAAGACCGCGGTTGCTCCAACAAGGCCTTGGAGTCCTTGAAGGAGGTAGCTGCAGCGGCAACCTCCCGGATGACCTGCTGGGCCCCAGGAAACAACGTCGCTCCCAGACGGTAGGGGAGGGCCAGCAAGGTCTGCTGTGTAGCTGACATAGACAGCCACAGCTTGCGCATCCCCATGACTGCGCACATCACCGTCGACGCGGCCGACCGCAAGGAGTCGCTCGCTAGGTGGGCCTGCACTTCGGAAAGTTGACGGAGGAGAACAACATGCTGAGAAACGTCTCCAGCGGGCTCCTCCGCCTCCAGGGCCGACCTCTGAATCGAGGAGAGGTAGGCCTCGTGGACCACCACCCGCACCTGCTGCATAGCGTTCCGGTAAACCTCCTCGTGGGTCTGGTAAGCACCAAGGACGGCAGAATGCGGAGCAGCGTCTGCGTGGGTTGCCTAGGGGCAAACGCCTCGCCTGGTAAGCGGAACTCAGTCGAATCCAAGCGGCTGGCAGGCACCGCGGCCTGGGGAATGTACTCGGCAATGCATTGCCGGACTTCCCTCAGAGCCGTCGAGAAACGGAAGGCACCCTCCGGCTCCTCGACATCCCCAATGTCCATGGACTCGTCGCCCGAGCCCGAGGCTGGGTCTCCTCACGAAGAGGACCCGAACCCCGACCCGGTGGGCGGCCTGGCACCGGACACAGAGGGAAGGGAAGAACCGAAGCAGCGCCCTGCTTTAGTGCCCGACACCACGCCCGAACTCCGGTCCCGGGACGCAGGAAGAAGACCGGGCAAAACTGGTTCCTCCGCTCTCATGGGGCGGGACGGCGCAGGGACCGGAACCCAAGGAATCCTCAAGGGACCCTGCGCCAACTCCGAGAGGGGGACTGGGAGCGAAGCCTCCCCCTCCGGGGCAGCCGAGGCGTCGGGACCCGAAGCCAGAGGCAACGGATCAACAGATGCCTCCAGGCCGAGGGATCGGGCCGGGCTCGGCGATCCCACCCCCAGACTCTCCGTCCCCTGCTCCGAGTGGGCGAGGAACTCCTGGCGGAGACCTCCAACCGACTCGTGAACAAGGGACTTCACCGAGTCCATGTGGTGCTGGAATAATTGCATGATTAGAGACATGTCGAAACCGCTAGGAGGAGTTGAAGGCGACTGACTGCGAGATTTAGCCTTTTTGCCTTTACTTTTTGGCTTTTTAGCTTTAGACAGGGGGACCTGGGTCAGTTCCCCTCCCGCCTCTCGCATTTCCCGATAGAAGAGAAAGTCTGCAGCCCGCCTCTTCTGGGTGCGGGGGGAGAAGCCCATACATATCTCGCACGTGTCAGGGTTATGGCCGCCTTTTTCAAGGCACACTAGACACTTATCATGATGGTCTGCACGGGGAATACTTTGCCCGCAGACAGTACAACCGGAAAACGCCTGAAAGCAAACACGCAAGCATGTAGCTATAATAGTTGGTTAAAACGCAATATGACAACCATGTGGCACGCTAAACTTCCCGCCATGGAATAGCAACACGTGCGTAAACCACGGTGGTGGCGTCCCAGACATCATTCTCTTAACTTCAAAAGAGTTCAGCTCTGCACGACACATCCGTTCACGGCAGTGACAGCAGAAGGAATGATGATACGGGCCTAGGTGCTTACCCAGTTGGTGCGCATGCTCAACGGGAGTTAACTCCACGAGGTTGGGGCCGTATAATAAATAAAAAGATTTTTATTTATTGTACAATATTTTTTAAAAAAAACATTGATACAACTGTCACAGGACATTTTCAGCCCGGAAAATGCATAATATGTACCCCAAGGACGATCTCTATGAAAAAGAACTATCAAGTTTGAAACACAAAGGAAATAATCAGAATAAAGATGATGTAAAAAACTGACCTCATCATTGCTGACAATGCAGCTTTCGTGAATCAAATTGCCAATATCCTTGAGACATTCATTCCGCAAGGTTTCCTCTGTAGCCAGATCAGAATCATTCTTCTTCATGGCTTCATCGATCTCGACTCGTACTTTCTTGATCTGGTTCACTGTCAAACCCTGTGATCAATGTAAAATTACAGTATTCCCAAGTGTTTTCAGTGAACCTGGTCTTTACCAGGTAGTTATCCTGTTTATTCATAGGAAAGTACTTAGTTCTGGTTTCAGCACAACACAAGCAATTTGGAGTCCTGAAGACAGGCTGATGATGAGTCTGTTAAATGGGTAGAAAGTCAAGCTAATCACACTTAAAATAATTAAGGTAGAAAACAAATGATTTAAATCTACTCAAAATGGTTTAGACAAGTTTGGGTTAGCACTTGTTGTAGAATCAAATGTTTTCAGCATAGACTGCTGAGACAGTTCTTTGCGACAAAGAATGCAGAGGGATGCCTACTGCTAGCTGATCTTGTGTAATACTATCCATGTTGTCCAGGACTTCTGAAGGAACTGCTGAATCATCACCCACTGCTTCCTTTTTCTGTGAAGTAAGATTGACATACATCACCAGTGTAATCATTGTGTTTCCTGGATATCTTGTCATATTGCCATATTGAAAAGGTAAAGCTATAAGAATGTTAAGTACTAATCATCTGAATAAATGAAAAAAGTATAGACATGCAGAAATGCAGATATCCATGACGTCTAATAATTATCAAGATCATATGGTTTAGATAATGTCAGACATTACTCACAAAAGGACATATATCAACATGATGGGTAGTAGACTTGAAGAGTACTATGGAAATCACACCAGAGACATAGACATGAAACTATTTTATGCATGGAATTACTCTTCTGCAGGAAAGTGCACATTCTGATACATTTTGGGGTATAGTCCCATCTGGGATTCAAACCACACACTCAAGAATGTGCCACATAATCGCCAGCACACAAGTAAGTGATATACCCACTCTCACTCCTGAATCAAGCCTCCTTTGCTTGTCATTCAAACATGATGTAAGTCATGATAGGCTGATCATGGACTGTGAGTTAGTTGTTAGTTAATTAGTTATCCCTATTATCATGATTATCATCATGTGTCAAAGCACACAAGCATTGGTTGGCAGCATGAATAAATATCAAAGTTGTTAGGAATGATGAAACAGCTGTTGGATATTTATAGCAGGTTGCCCACTAACTATACCTGCTAACTTATTCTGTCACATACCCATGATAACATACATACAATATACCAACCTTCATTTTTTCTCCAATAACTTTGCTACACATGTTCTTGAGCTTGTTCAGCAAATCTGCTCGAAACCTCACTTAAAGAAAAGAAGTATACAATCAATAATAAGATTTAGACTATTGCAGACAGCAAAACAGACGTAATCTTATGTTTGATCTTATTTTCATTCAATATGTTTTTCAGTTTGTTGTTTAACGTCGCACTCAGCAATGTTCCAGCTATACGTCCACGGTCGGTAAATAATCAATTCTGGACCAAACAATCCAGTGATCAAAAGCATGAGCATAGATCTACACAATTAGGATACAAGTATGTGTCAACCAAGTCAGTGAGTCTGACCACCCGATCGTGTCAGTCACCTTTTATGACAAACATGGGCTGCTGAAGACCAATTCTAACCTGGATCTTCACAGGTATTATGTTTCTCAGAAGTGCAACAGGCACCGTTTAAAGTGTTTGCTCACCACATCGAAGAACCAAGTTTCTATTCCCCACATGTATTGATGAGTGAAGCCCATTTTTTGTGTGTTCCCCACCGTGATATTGCTGGAATATTGCTAAAAGCGGTGTAAAATTCACTCACTCACTCAGAAATGCAACAGTAAACTGATGAGTTAAGATTTATTCATTATAATGAACATATAATAAAACATTCGTAATTGCAGAATACATAAAAAAAAGAATGATCAGCTGTATACCATTATATATCAGGATCCTAAAATAGTTATAAAAACCATAGGACAAATTACAAACTTCGCCTCAGTGTATGAACACACCATATTCATTCAAACCTAAGGAGGGGCAAGATGTCTTAGGTGGGGTGAGGTGAGGTGAGGTGAAATTGGGTTTAACGTCGTGCTTGAGAATATTTCGCTCTTATGCATTCGTGTGTATGTGTATGTGCGGCTGCTTGTACTAGCCCAGACTGACGCTGGTTTTATAGTGCTAGCCCACCAAGATACCATGCCGCAGTGAAGCATGAATACCCCACTCAGACACATTATACTCACTCCAAGCCGACCAGTCCTTGTTGTACCCATTAATGCCGAGCGCCAGACCGGGACCAACAAGTACCATATTTTAACGTCTTTTGGTATGACGCGGTTGGGGATCGAACCCGCAACCTTCTGCTCTCCGGGCGGACGCTCTAACCACTACACCATGGAGGGGGTCAGATGTCTTAGGAGTGAGTGAGTGAGTTTAGTTTTACGCTGATAATAGCAATATTGCAGCTATATCACGGCGGGTGACACAAGAAATGGGCTTCACATATTGTACCCATGTGGGGAATCGAACCCGGGTCTTCGGCGTGACGAACGAACGCTTTAACCACTACGCTACCCCACAGCCCCGATGTCTTAGGAATTAGTTAAGCATGATATATGAGTTGTAACAGACACTACACATTATCTTGCACATGATTACGACATCACCTGTCACATAGTCTAAACTTGGCCTCAACAGGCAGATGTCAACTCCCAAACTTACGTTTCCGCCAAGCTGTGTCGTGGTCGACTACCTTGTCCACTAACGTAACATCCTTAAATCTTTTGGCTTGATTCTCCTTGATTTTAGCAGGGTCTCCGCCCTTGTCGCCACGGAAGAGCTCAATATCTAACACCATGTTGACAAATTAAATAAGACTTCACGCAACAATCCGCCTGTGTGCCTTGCCGGTTTGCGTTCTCAATATTCCCAACGTGGACCACTACGCATGCGCATTTATGTTGTCGGCTTGAGGGAGGTTTGATTATTGAATTTGTTTTGAATGTGAACAAGGATTCAAAACGAGACATATATAAATTGGAACGCAGAAACAAATAATTACATACATTGAGATTTTTTTAACATATGATCTGTTAAAATTCTAATCACTTTGACTTTCTTTTTACTAACACATGTCGATAGTACAATACATTCTCCATGTTGACAATTTCTTGCATCAGCCAGATGTAGCCTTGCTGAAGGCCCTTATGGGGAACGATAATCTTGTTTTATTGCGATTTATGTTTTTTGTCCGGGAAGGTGTAGGCACGTGTTCATGAAGCCCGATATCAGAGAACATTAGTTCACATAAAATAATGGTCTCTTCTTAATGTGTCCGTGGCAGAAAGTTCAGATAGTTTAAATACACACACACACACACATATCGTCTAATATTGAGTTTCTTAATTAGTTTCTCTGAGTTAATTTTAATAAGTAAACTAGTTTGTATGAACATGTATATAGTACCCGATGGCGTGGAATGAAGACATATGTTTGTAAGGACTACAACGATTCGTACTCACCGAAAATTGCAAATTCGTACCTTCAGCATTAATATACATTATTTGGCTGACTCAAAGAAACAAAACGTCTGCAACAATGTCTTAACTTTATTCCTGACTGATTTTCAAGAATTTAAGATAAAATATAATAATCGGTAAACCATATGTATTTTCACTGTTTGCGAATATGCCTTTTGGGGTACAAGTCCAGTTGATTAGGTGCAGTTGGTTGAGTCCCCCAAAACGTGGGTACGGATTGTTCACTTCTCCTTGGTATATCGACATGAGACAATTGCTTGTCTCGAACTACGGAAGCCTGGACGTGTGTTGTGCCCTTAAACCTACAATGGTCTTAAGAACACAGAAATCATAAATAAACATGAGTGGGCGGAGCTTATGTGACCACGTCATACGTGTTTCGTAGAGTAGGGGTTGGCTCCCATGTGCCGTGTGCCGGTAGTCACTGTGAAGAGCCAGTCACCGAGAACCTGAGGAGGGTTGGGTTACCTAGACTGGCGGCAAGTCTCCGTCATTGTATTCCCATGGCTGCGGCTGGAGGTAACTCGACCCGCCCGTATCTCACCAGCTGTCAACAGAAATCTCGCGCCGACTTCTTGCGTGAAATGAAAAACTTTTGCAATGTTCTTCACTTCGTTAAACATGTATCATGTGTTTTTTAAGAATTATTAGTTAAATACATCGTTTTATCAGCAAAACGGGAAGTGTATTATTTGTTTAAGGTTGATAACACGTATATGACCACATTTTATGTAATCTGAGAACCTTCACATCATTTCTATTTAGTCCAGAATGCACGGTTTCCAGGCATAATAGCCTGGAAATCTCTGTGCTGTTTATACATGGGAAACTCCCAACAAAACTTCGGTCATACTGTGTGGTCTAATCAAGCAGGAACGTTTGCCGAAATAATTAAACAATGTCATTATTACTTATTCCTTTTTAACTTACATATTAGACCCATTATACCTTTTTTCACAAATGCACCCTGGTCACGGCTTTAACTATGTATCGTGTAGTAACGAAGGGCAACCTGCTATATGTACTATATACATTACAGAATACAGAGCGCATCAACGCCCACTTCGGTGATGTGTTACAGTATGTTTGATCGTAAGTGAACTATTGCATGACGTCGTGTACACTGGAACGTGTATCATGATTAATGCTGTATGCATCGTGCGTAACGAATCTCCATGTCATGTTTTCATCACTCTGTTTTGGAAAGATTCGGTCACCGTGAAATTGCAGGAATATTGCTTGTAGCGACGTAAAACTAAATTCACTCACTTCGATTCCTGCATAACATTGGGTCAGTACTTCGTATGGAACCCATTCAGTTATTGCTCCGCCGCCGTGATACGGCCACAGAAGTACTTATTTCCAAGGCGTTCCGACTAGCACCTTTACCTGTCAGGTAGATGGTATTTTACCTGTCGGTATCCCGTACCTGGGATGGTGTGTCGTTACCTGAACTACGGTATACCCCCGTACTTCGGTCCTGACGATATGGGATGAGCGAGAGGTACAGTGTCAGTACCAGGGGCCCTTGGAACTCTACCGTAGTTCATCCAGCAAACACAAGACGATGATCTTCGTTCAATAGTTTTATTGAAACTGTGTTGCTGGTCAACCTACTCTATGGTCACTCTATAAGACTTCAGCCGCAAAGCTTCAGTCTTAAGCCAAAATGCTGGTGCTTCAAGATAATTTCTCAGACGGTTCCTAGTGACCAACAGCAAGAGCAGGCCCGCACCAGACTCCCGTTTCTGAGCTTTGCTCCCGCTTAAACCTGGGTTCCTACGTCACAGCCAACACCCTTTTCCATTTTTTTTCTATTGGTCAATAACCCACAATTTGACTATCTATTACTCTCCCCACCTCTATATCGTACCCCACTACCATATTTGTACGACCGTGAGGTGGATTCCAAGAATCTCAAAGTCTCTCCCCTAACCATATAGGGCTCGTAGAATACCAGGAACTGGTGGCCAGGTCCCCGGCCAGGTCGCTCCATCTTGCTAGTATAGTAGTTTTCCTCTATCTAAGCTATGACTCACTTTATCCTGCACTCACCAGCTCCAGCGACCTACTTTCATGTTCATTACCTACGTTACTGACTTTCTACTTAACCTCCCACCTTACAACGTTACCAATCACTTCATATCTTAAATATTTTATTAAAACTCTCACAATTTGTATCTTCTGCCCCTTAATCCCTGTCATTAATAATGTTAATTGTATATCTCTTATTGTAATAAGGACCATAATCTCATGCCTATAACACGCCTTACAACGTTACCAATCACTTCATATCTTAAATATTTTATTAAAACTCTCACAATTTGTATCTTCTGCCCCTTAATCCCTGTCATTAATAATGTTAATTGTATATCTCTTATTGTAATAAGGACCATAATCTCATGCCTATAACACGACCCCTTCCAACGAAGAGTGTATCCCCACACTCTATAGGACTGTGACGTCGAGACCCAAGCTATTTGTTTTGATTTCCTTTAATTACGTATTTTACCTTGTTCTTGTTGTGACCATGGGGTTTATTAACCGCAACCATACAAATACAGACATAAGTTACAACATCAAGCACAAATTATTATTATCAATATGGTTTTAAGTACAATTTTCTATGTCTAACAAGAACAATATATATGAACCGGACGGAATACATGTAAAATGGCTAATATGTCAATAATAATATTATAGAGATATAATTTTGGCTTCCCTTGACGACGCGGTTGGGTAGGGGTTTTTTTTGTTGTTTTTTTTTGTTTGTTTATTGACCCAGCATCCCCGATTGACTGGCCCCTGGGTGTCAAAGTTTCCACTCAGGGTCTACCTTCGAGGACCCCCAGGTACAACCATCCCAGTGGCCCTGGCTTTTAGGGGGGTAGAACAACTTTAATTTCATGACCAGTTGTTCTACCGGGTAAGGGGCCATCCGTCTCTTAATACTGGAGACGAGGCGTTCAGGAAGGTCAGGCAATGCTTCTGACGATAAGGGATGTGCGAGAGGTACAGTGTCAGTACCCGGGGGCCCTTGGAACTTTACCGTAGTCCGTCCAGCAAACACAAGACGATGATCTTCGTTCAATAGTTTTTATTGACACTGTGTTGCTGGTTAACCTACTCTATGGTCACTCTATAAGACTTCAGCCGCAAAGCTTCAGTCTTAAGCCAAAATGCTGGTGCTACAAGATAATTTCTCAGACGGTTCCTAGTGACCAACAGCAAGAGCAGGCCCGCACCAGACTCCCGTTTCTGAGCTTTGCTCCCGCTTAAACCTGGGTTCCTACGTCACAGCCAACACCCTTTTCCATTTTTTCTATTGGTCAATAACCCACAATTTGACTATCTATTACTCTCCCCCACCTCTATATCGTACCCCCACTACCATATTTGTACGACCGTGAGGTGGATTCCAAGAATCTCAAAGTCTCTCTCCCCTAACCATATAGGGCTCGTAGAATACCAGGAACTGGTGGCCAGGTCCCCGGCCAGGTCGCTCCATCTTGCTAGTATAGTAGTTTTTCCTCTATCTAAGCTATGACTCACTTTATCCTGCACTCACCAGCTCCAGCGACCTACTTTCATGTTCATTACCTACGTTACTGACTTTCTACTTAACCTCCCACCTTACAACGTTACCAATCACTTCATATCTTAAATATTTTATTAAAACTCTCACAATTTGTATCTTCTGCCCCCTTAATCCCCTGTCATTAATAATGTTAATTGTATATCTCTTATTGTAATAAGGACCATAATCTCATGCCTATAACACGCCTTACAACGTTACCAATCACTTCATATCTTAAATATTTTATTAAAACTCTCACAATTTGTATCTTCTGCCCCCTTAATCCCCTGTCATTAATAATGTTAATTGTATATCTCTTATTGTAATAAGGACCATAATCTCATGCCTATAACACTTAAAGCTACAAAACCATACAAACGCATGCAGTGCACACAGAGAACACAACTATGAGGTACAGTATAACAAACGAAACCATTTATTTCATAACACAAAGAAACATTTGTGCATACATAAATGTAAGTTTATGATACATATCATAAATACAAAGGATATTTGGAAGTACTTGATCACTTGGAGTGAAAGTATAATAATGCACAAGACATGATCCTCTACATGATCCTTATAACTACAGGGATAAGAAAATAATAACAAGATAAGAACAAACAAGAGGTAGACTATGCGTTGTCTTTATACATTTCACAAAAGCTTTTGAAATTAACTTATACGTGTTCTAAACACTGTGCTATCATTATATGTTTTGTTACTCATCATATATATATATGATTCATGATATATCTAGTTTTATGTAGTTTTTAGAATATTGTC